CCAAAGTGTTATACAGAATGGTATGATCCAGCAACCAAGCTAAGAAAGATTGCACCAGGGTTAAATGAATGTCGGAAGTTTGCTGGTCTTGGTGTAATTAAGGATCAATTTGTGTTTGCTGTGGGAGGTGTAAATGTATCGAGTTCTAAATCTGTTAGTATGCTTGACGTATCTTCACAATCGCCCTCATGGGTTCCAATGGCCGACATGTTAGTTAGTAGATGGCAATTAGGAGTTGGAGTATTAAGTGATTCCATATATGCTGTAAGTTAAATAAATATTTACATTACTTATTTTATATTATAATTTTTTAATTCTAGGTTGGTGGAGGTAATTTCGAAAATGCAGCATTAAAAAGTGTAGAGGTTTTCGATGTCAGTATTCAAAAATGGAGAATGGTGGCTAGTATGTCAATTAAGAGATATGGTTTGGGTGTTGGTGTACTAAATAATCTTTTATACGTGGTGAATAATTATATTATTTATTTAATTTTAATTTGTAATACATTTCATAAAATTAAATTATGTAGGTTGGGGGTGCTGGTGATGGTAACATTGTTGATTCTGTGGAATGTTATGATCCCGCACTTGACACATGGACAACAGTTGCAAAAATGTCTAAATGGCGTAAATGGGTTAGTGTAGGAGTCATGGACGGCGTGATGTATGCAATTGGTGGCTATGATGGAAGTGTGTATCTTAAAATGGTAGAGGCTTATAGACCGAGTGATGGAGTTTGGTCTTCTGTAGCTGATATGCAATTTCCTCGATACAGGCCTGGTAACTAAAATAATAATTTTTTTTAAGTTAAATATGCCGATTTTGTCCTGGTAACTATAATAGTTATATATCTTAGGACAACCTTTGTAAAAATGTATTGAATTTAAATTATATTTCTATATAGGAGTAGTGGCATTAGATGGTTTATTGTATGTGATGGGCGGAGAATCTGATAAATCTATCAATGATACTGTAGAAATTTACAACCCTAAAACCAATACTTGGACCTTGGAGATATTGTCAAGAAATGAAGTACACATTTATGGTGGAGTAGTTGTTGATAAACCACCACATTTTATTAACTAATCGGCATACATAATAGTCTCATTGTTGGTAGAAATATGATCATATTTATGTATAATTTATGACGAAACATATTGATTTATTAATTTTTGTTTTTTTGAATGTTTGATAAATGTTGTTTTATAATTTAAATTAATTATTTACAAATTTAATTGTATAAGCTATAATGTTATTTGTATTGCAGTGGATCAGCAAAAAAACTTGTATAAATTACAATATTCAGTATATCTTTTAGATTTTGTGCAGAGTGATCAATTTATTAATTTTTCTATGATATTTGGTTTTGGATTTTTGTGTACACAATAAACATAACAGATACCATAATACAAATGATGATTTTATCATTTAATATACATGATCAAACTATTTTGACTTTATGCTATTTATAGATATTAAAAAATGTATTACTTTTTTATTTATGTCAATAAGTTAATTCAAGGTTGTTATAATACATCATAGATTTATGTTTTATAACTCTTGAAAATTCAAATTTTGGCAAAAGTTTTAAATTATTTTGTAGTTATAAATTTATAAAAAATTTTAATTTTTGTAAGTGAAGATAGAACATTTAAAACAAAGTTTCTCTTCGGCTGTTTATATTGCAACAAAAATCAAAAAAAATGTTAAACAGTTTTATATTATAGATATTTTAAGTTCAAATTTGGACAAAATTAGATATTTAAAAAACGAAAATCAATAATTTAGTTATTTTGTTGTAATTTAAAAATATAAATCTTGAATCAAGGGCACTTGAAGCTTTTATGGAGGAATATTTAGAAGGCAATTAGCTTGATATATACATTTGAGCCCTTCTATGTGTAAGTAGGATATAAACATTAATGTGTTTCCGAGAATCGCAGTTTGGACTATCCAATGCTCCGATTTTTGAGAGCAGCATCTTTTCTGATAGAAAAGTTAATCTAGTTGGTACTTATGGAAGGTAAAAATTGAAAATTCTCCGAAGTTTAAGAAAATGTCAAAAAAAAAAAAACAAAAAAAAATTTGAAATATTTTGACTGAGCTAGTTATAGGTAGGCTTGACATTTTTTTTCAATTACAATTTCAATAGAAACTTATTTGTTAAATATAAAGCTTGAAAGTTTAATAAAAGGCTTCTAATATCTTGTTACAACGATATTTGAAAAATATTAAATATCTGGTCAAGATTTTTTTTTATAAGCATTTAAAGTTAAAATCTTGACAAAATACTTAAAAATCACGAAAATGAGCAAACTATTTTGAAAATCATAAACAATTTTCTTTCATAATCAAAGATTTGAAATTTATTATTTATCTACCATTATCAACAAAAAAAACATTTGCTCTGCTGTACAGTAGGTTACAAGTGGGTCACTGTATAATGGATGGTATTAAATTTGAATTCAATGATATAATATCATTGTATAAGAAAAACGATTCTGAGCGGAGACGGTGTGTCAGTCTAGGTATAAGACATATTATATACAAAACTATAATCTATGGTAGGTATTAAAAAAAAATTGACCAATAGGTAATAGGTACCTATAATAAATTCCAAATTAATCACATCAGTAGGTATATCACAATATCCATTAGGTAGGTACTTATAATGCGTTATACATCAATAACAAACCGTGATACTATCATAGATATAGTAGTATACTTAAGAAGTTTCAAGTACCCACGAATAATATTATACAATCACAACAAATAACTAAAATTGTAATTCTAGGTTTTTTAATATGTAATTTCGTCAAAATTTGAACTTAAAATGACTATAAAAATTAACTGTGCTAATGAACTTTTTAGATTTTTTGGTAAAAGAATTAACTACTAACGTGGAATCTTGTTTTAAATTTTCAATCCTTAGATATAAAAGTTGAACATTTTATAAATTTTTAACTAAAAAATAATTATTCAATTTTAAATTTGATAAATGTTGTCAAAATTCGATCTTTAAATGCTTATAAAAAAAAATTGTGATTATGTATTTTTAATATTTTTCAACTTATATTGTAAAAATATATCAGGAGCCTTGTATTAAATTTTTACACTTTTTGGCCCAACAGATAAAACTTTATTGATATTCATAGAAAAATAAACTAAAAAAATTGAAAAATGAAAACGTCTGTTTACAACTCAAAAAGAGCCAAAATATTTTTAAAATTGTATGGTGTATAGGAAATGCTAATATAAATATTCAGTGAAATTTTCATGTGTCTACAGTTATTCGTTTTTGAATTACAACAAAATTAAGAAACCGCTACATGAGAAATCGAGTGAATATTCTATAATGTTGTCAAAATTTGAATTTCAAACGCTCATAAAAATTTAATTTGACTTTCTTGTTGTCATTTTTTTTTTTGATAAAGGTAGATAATCTTATAAGGAATCTTGTATTACATTTTAAAATCTTAGATTTAAAAAGAAAAAGTTTTATGAATTCTTAACTCAAAATAATTTGCTAATTTTCGTGATTTTTCCATATTTTGTCAATTTTTGAACTTTAAATGCTTATGAAAAAAAACTGTGACTAAGGATTTTTAATATTTTTCATCTACCTTTGAAAAATTTACTAGGAGCCTTAACTTAGTATTATTATTACTCTACTAAACTTAATGACTATGACTTATTTCTTAATTTTTTTGCGCATTAGGTACATACGTCATACATGTTTACTTAGGATCGGGCCACACATAGTGGTTCTACCGCGATAGTGGTTCAACCCCCGGGCTACCGTAGGTATACATAATTCATATATGCGGTTATGCCAAAAATATTGCATGAATGAAAAATTATTAAATCAAAATATTTAAATCAAGCCACTTTGGTGCTTAAGGTCAGACGCAAATTTTTGATTGAGCAGATGCGTGTTTTGTCATGTTAATCGGCGAGCATAGACACAAATGTTTTTATGATTTGGGGTGGTTAAAGTCCTTATAATAATAATTAATATTGTATAGGCTTAAAAGAAATTGGGAAGTTTTTGAGGGGCTACTGAAATATCTGGAGAGGAGGCTTATAGCCCCTAAAAGCTCCCGCCCAATTTGCGACTAAGGCGGTGAGTATATTTAAAATTAAAATTAAAATAATACAATGAAAAAAGATTTTACTGGATGCATGCTATTTACCAAAGTAGTACTTGGTATTTAAACCAAAATTGATGTACCTATAAACATAAATATTTTTTTTTTTTAATTTAAATATAGGTGCCGCGCTGTACTTTATTGCCGCACGCAGATCATATAACTAATAATATTGATTTTTTTTAACGTAGTTAAGAATGACGGTGAAATCGTCGGCATATTTCTGGAATTTACTGGACACCCTTTTTTTTCTCAATTTTTTCGGCATTCGAATTTAGTTTTGAAATTTTAACTATTTGAAGTTCGAGACCCGCCCAATGCGTAGGTTTAACAATAGTTACATAACAAGTTGATGGATGTTTTCGATTTTTATTGTCCGAGAAACGTGCTACCACACGCCGGTCGCAGTATATGAAAATACTATAAATTTCAATTAGCTATAACTATTTAAAACTAAGCCTGAACGTCAAATTTTGACTTTATATAGTTTTCATCTAAACTCTAAAGTACAGTGTTGTAGTTGTGCGTATATAAACGTGAGATTGCAACCTTTAGAACGAAATAACTTCCAAAATAATGATTTTCGTAACATTTTGTTTGGACCACCGTTCTTGTCATGTTGAAATACGTATGTTTCAAAAAAATGCTGGGAAGCTAAAAATTCAGGGCCGTCCCGAAAGACAAATCATGGGGGGGTGGTTTGATTCATAATTTGCCAACTAAAAAAAAAAATTTTCTCGCTTCGCTCGACAATTACCTTCTACCTGAAGTCTATACATGCATAGTAGTCAGTATACAAATGTTACACAATATTAAATATTTTATTATGTTCTTACTAGGTTCTTTTATTATATCAACAAAAAAATATTATAATAAACTTAACACTAAATTTATATACGTCGGTTTTTAAAATTGACCATTGATGTGCTATTTTATTTATATCCAATAGGTCAACAATATCTTTTTCTACTCCCAATACAATTAAAGAGTTTAATCTCTCATCAGAAATTGTTGACCTAAGATATGTTTTAATCAATTTTAGTTTACTAAAAGATCTTTCGTTTGATGCGACTGTTACAAAAGAAGTCAATGCTAAACGAAAAATTTGATTAGCACATGGTAAAATATGCTTTACTTCTTCTGCTTTTTCCATTAAAGAATTAAATGGTAATGTTCTATCTTCTTGTAACATACTAAATAATATTTCTAATTCTGTTTGAACTAAATCATAATCTAGAAGGTAAGCACCTACACTGCTTGGTGGGAACAAACAAAAAGGAATATTGCTTTTATTAAATGGTTGAGTAAATAATGGTTGAATAGAAGAAATACATGATTTTAAATTATCATTTGTTAGTTTTAATAGGGTATCTAGAACCATTTTAAATTCTTTTCTATAAAATAGATGCATTGTGAATTCAGCTTGGGTTGTGGCATTACAATCATATCGTTTAGGAGCTAATCTTTTACGATGATGGTTTTTAAAATCAGCGCACAATTCCTTATCAGTTATCATTACAGCTTTATTAAAAATAATTCAATGATTATACGACAGAATATAATATATTATGAAATTTCATATATTCTGTGATTATTCGAATATGTATAGGCAAATTTGTATACTTTTATAATATTATATACTAGCTCTAAGTATAACTCGGGGCCCGTTGGAATCGCTGAGAGTGGGTACCGATTTTGGAGACAATGAATTATAAAAGTCGCAAAGGTTGTAAGACGAAAGTTTAGGATTTGTGATAAGGATTAGTGATATGGATTGGATATAAGGCTAGACGCTTTGGCGGGAATGTTAAAAGTTTGAGTGTCTAGCAATCCGTCACAAACGTTGTAAATGGATAGGCTGGATACGATCTCCAGGATCACCTATATAGAGTATACCTGCACATAGAGTGGTATGTGCCGTAGCATGCCCGGTGCTTTATCTTATGTAAAAAGTGTAAAGTCGAAAACCGTGTTGGAGTTTCTAGCAAGTCAGTCATCTCAAGTCAAAATCTATTAACTTTCAAGTTAGCCACTTAGGTAGGCTGGTAGGCAATCCGACTTCGTCGGATCGCGGACAATGTGCTACAGCAAATCAGGTAGGCAATCCACCTGCGGTGGATTGCAGACCCGACGTCAAGCGGCTATAAGTGAAAACCCTATCACACAACTTACGAAATAATTTACGAAAAATTCAAACTATATACAATATACATACAAACAAATATGATATGTATTTATTGTGTGATATAATATAACAATGAACACTTTGAGAAAAGTGCAATTATAATTCCTAAAAAAAATTAACATATATAGGTAGATAGTTAGATACATACCTACTATTATATTAACCAATACAATAAGTACATATAAACACTACCTATAATGTATATATATTAATTTAAAAAAAAAAATGCATAAACCTGCATGTTAAACTGTTAAAGTGTCTGTCAAGTCAATCATCACCGTTTAAGACGAAACTAAAATGAGCAATCCGTCTATCACCTATATATAGTAGGTATATCACATAGAGTGGTATGTGGCTTCGCATGTCCGGTGCCATTCCTTATGTAAAAAGTGTAAAGTCGACAACCGTGTTGGAGTGTCTAGCAAGTCAGTCATCTCAAGTCAAAATCGATTAACTTTCAATTTAGCCACCTAGGTAGGCAATGCGAAATAAAATACAACTATATTTATATAACAATCATGGACTATTTGAAAAAATATGCAATTATAATAATTCCTAACAAAACAAATATAATATGTACCTATTTATTGTATGATATAATATGACAATGACTTTAAATAATAATAATGTACGATATGTTCCTGTATTATATTATTATTTAATTTATATTAAAAATAACGTGAAAAAAAAATGCAAAAAACATCAGGTTCCGGGCGGCCGAATAGACCTTATGGCAATACCAGTTTCGCCGCTCGGGCAGCGTACGACGGGTTCGAACCCGGGACCTACGTGTTTTCTACCTAACGCCTAACCTACTTGGACACACAGTTTGAGATGTGAAATAAGATCAAAACATCAACACTTAAGCCGTGCGTCTACGGAGCGACGTAAACCGATATATTCGATGTACATCGATGTAATCGCATATAATTCGCTTGTAATACGCGCATCTCCCATATATATATTTAACGGGGCGTGTGAAAAGCGTTTTTCGTTAATAATTATTAAATCATAGGGAAAAATTAAATTATACATGTATATATACGGTCTGTCGGTCGCCGGCGTAATTTCCAAACGCGATTGCGAGGCGAACGAACCGATTTTGGGGGAAAAGCGCATATAAACGGCTTCAAGAAGACTCGATTCGGGCACAAACGGGTGCGAATAGACGAAACGGTGGGAGAAAAGGAAAATATCGGCAAAAAAGTCCGGTCGGAGTGTATTTATTGATCGACATTGCACGAATATAAACCGCACACCGGTGGCTTCGAATTAAGTATGTAAAAGGGCGAAAAGATATCGTGTAAAAACAGCTAATTTTCCGAAAATCGGCGAAATGATAGGAAAAGAGGCGATAACGAAAAACGTTTTAAAACCGACCGCCGCCACTGCGAAGGTACGCGATTGGTCGTGCTATAAGGAATCGACGGGACATGGCCGGCGGGCTGGGGAAACGGAGCAGTGCTTCATTTTTTACGCCATGGGTTCGCTATAGCCGGCGTTTTCCTTTCCATTGGTACACTATAGACAGCTGATTTCCTTGTCATTTTATATATTAGGATGATACATTGATTATTGATTGGTATAAAATCTAAAATATTATTTATTTATGTATAATAAACGGGTATTAAACCCTTTAGCAATTAGAAAAAAATATAAGTACAGTTTAACTTATCTTATAAGTTATAACATAATTTGGACACAATAATGATGTAAAATTATTTGTACCAATGGAAATAGTTAACAGCCAAAAAAGAATAAATATATAGTACAGTAAAAATCATTAATAATTAACAATAAATAGTTGCACAAAAAAAAATTTTTTAATAAGAATAAAATAATAAAAATAATATTTAAGCAAGAGAATTTAAATTTAAAGCAAGATAAACATTTTGTCTGAATACAAAACGCGACATAGCAAAAAAATCAACATGATCCATTATACTGTTAGCCAAAGACAGAGCTCTGGGGAAAAACGAGGTGGAAGTATAATTATTTTTGGAAAGAGAAACATGAAAAAAGTTAGATTTTCTTAATACGTGAGTTTGTACATTAAGACCAATGTGAAATAATAATTCCGGAGAATAAATAAGACCATTTAATAAGTCATATAAGAACATAATATCCGCAACATTTCTCCTCAAATCACAAGACGCGATCCCCAATTGGGAAATTTGCAATTTATATAATTCTCTCGTGATTGGTATATTTAATTTAAAGCATAAAGTTTTAGAAACTTATACTGAACATTTTCAATTAGACTGGTATATGAAAAATAATGTGGATACCAGACAATTGATCCAAATTCAAGATGAGACCTAACCAGGGAAAAATATAAAGTTTTTAAGGCATTGGTATTTTTAAAATTTATCGTGCTATTATAATAGTATTAACTGTGTTGGACAGTTGGCAATCGGAAAATTAACTTATAATACCTTCATATTATTATAAATTACAATATATTATTATGATATATTTGGACTTGTAGTATATACAAAATTATTAAAAAACTGTAAAAAAAATTATAATTTGCCGAGTGCCAACTGCCCAACTCAAATACTTAATGTAGGTATCAATGTGCCAACTGACATATACATATTAATTATTATACGCTCAGGGGGGTGGGACACCCCCTAAAACCCCCCTTCGGGACGGCCCTGGCTAAAATGACTTTGTTCCAAAAATATGAAGGAAAAATGAGAATTTTCAAAATAATCGATTTTATTCATTAACTCATCACCGTAGGCACTTGAAATTTTCACCAAATATATTTATATATTAGAATTTTTTATACATGATGAAAATATATATACTCAAAATATATTGACTCTTTTGTAGCTATTATTACAACCTTGAGAATTTTTACCGTCGATAAATAATAATTTTTTTTCGCTCGATGAAAAAACTATTGAACATTTAATGCGAAAATTAAAAATACTTAATAATTAGTATTATAATTAAACTAAATTAATCGATTTTTCGTGCGGCCCGGCATTAGACTATTATAAAAAATGTACGATAATAATACGTCACTTACCAATGCAATCGAAAAATCCTATAAACCCAATTACGGTGTTTTAGTGTGTCGGGAGGTGACGACATTTTTGCGTAAGAAATTTTCACCTAGCGGTGTTTCCGAATTGCGGACAAAGTGACAAAAACTATGTGAGTTGCGGACGAAATCTAAAAAGGTAACATACGAATTGTGCGGACACAAATATAAGATACTAATTGCGGATAATGTTACAATAATATTCACGTGGTGAAATCAGTAGAATATCATTATAATATACAGGCCGTTTTAAAAACTATGACGATAATCTATAAATATTTTATAAACAATTTTTTCCACAAAATTAAAACAATCTATAATTCAACAACATTTTAAAAATAACGATTGCTCTTTTACAAGACACAAATATTTTTAACCCCACCTACCAATTTTTTTTTAGCTATTGTCATAAGTCCTGAAAAAGTGGTGAAGGGAAATATTTGTGTACACAACTAACGTAGTTTTTATTAAAAAAAGCTCTGTACGCAATTAGTATTATGACAACGAAACTCGTGTCCGCAATTGTTATATTATATAATTCCTAACCTGAATAATTCGTCCTCAACTAGTACCTATCCCAATGCGTACGGAACGCCGTTTAGCAATTCAATTGCTGCAATGATCCAGGCTGGATTCCAGATGACTGTTTAGTGTGTACAGATCATCCTGACGGCCATGGCTGCCAGCACGAGGGTCATGCAACTGCCATCATAGCCCATATTTCTGATTATCCAACCGGACTAGAAAAAAAAATGGTATCTATTACACCGCTGAAACACTGAATGCCTTGAGCTAGACCTATTGGAGCGTTTTCACCCGCGCCCGTTGGCTGTGGTCGTCGTTAGCTGAAACCAAGTCTTCCATGTACCTTCATTAAAATATTATATATTATGATTAATAATTCGACACAAATTTTGAAGGAGCACACAACACAAAAAAAATGTCATTACATTTTTTTAAAATGTTATATTACTGTAGCTATGGCTATATTAAACGATGTGGTGAAAATCCAATGTAAAACAATAATTATTAGGTACTCTAAGAGATATTAAGAAATTTAGAATAGCCTAATATCTTATTCGTTTATTTAACCCGCATTATTGTCGCAAATGGGTAATGTTCATCAATTTTTTTTTTTTTTTTTATTATTTGTTCATTGAAACGACCTCTAGGTCTTTGTCAATGCTTATCACAAGTGGGTAGTAGGGAGATCATATGATCTATTTATCTATGTATATATCACTATATGCATGATACTACCCCCCTTCTCCTGCAAGAG